GAATTTGGTTAACCTAACCTTGGCAAATAATAATTTCGAAGGCCCTATTCCAAGTACATTTCACGACTTGCTAAGCCTGAATCTCTTGGATTTATCTAGAAACAATCTGTCTGGAGTGATTCCAAGGTCTTTAGAAGCTCTCTTACTTCTCAAGTATCTGGATTTGTCCTTCAACAGGCTCCAAGGAGAAATTCCATCTGGTGGACCCTTCCAAAACTTCTCCGCTCAATCATTTGTCTCAAACACTGCACTCTGTGGTGCACCCCGACTTCATGTTCCACCATGCAAAAATGGTACACTTGAACCAAATTGGAGGAAAGCTAAATATATAATCCCGGGGATCATATCAGTAGTGCTACTAGTGGCCTCCATATCTATCTTTCTTTTACGCAGGAAAAGGAATGTGGAAGTTCCAACAGAGTCTACCTTATTGTCTCAACTTCTTTGGAGAAGAGTTTCACGCCTAGAACTTCTAAGGGTGACAAATGGATTTAACGAAGAAAACAACTTACTCGGAAGTGGGGGTTTTGGCTCAGTATATAAAGGGACACTTTCAGATGGAATAGATATTGCGGTAAAGGTTTTCAATTTACAGCTAGAAGGGGCTTTCAAGAGTTTTGATAGGGAATGTGAAATGCTAAGCAACATTCGTCACCGAAACCTTATCAAAATCATCAGTTGTTGCAGTGAAATTGACTTCAAAGCCTTGGTACTGCAATTCATGCCTAATGGGAGCCTGGAGAAGTGGTTGTATTCTGAGAACTGTTCTTTGAATATCCTAGAGCGGTTGACTATATTAATAGATGTTGCAGCGGCATTAGAATACCTTCATCATGGTTATTCAATGCCTATTGTCCACTGCGATTTGAAGCCGAGCAATATACTACTAGACCATGATATGGTTGCGCATGTTGCTGATTTTGGAATTGCAAAACTCTTGGGTGGAGGAGATTTTATGACCCAAACCATGACCCTAGCCACAGTTGGGTATATGGCTCCAGGTGATGTACTTGTTAGTTTGATATCTTTCGGTTTTATACATGTTGTCCTTAATCATGAAGAACTCAACTCATAATTTTCATTTCATCATACACATTTATATAATTCATATTGCAGAGTATGGAATGGAAGGAATAGTTTCAACAGGAGGGGATGTATACAGTTTTGGGATTGTAGTGATGGAAACATTCACAAGAAGGAAGCCAACAGATGAGATGTTTGTTGGTGAAATGAATTTAAAGCAATGGATTGCAAACTCACTAGTATTACCAGATGCAATGATAGATGAAGTTGTGGATGCCAATTTGCTTGGGATTGGGGCACAACAGGAAGATGATGATCATGTGGGGAAGAGGGATTGCATATCAGCCATTATGAGATCATCTCTTGCTTGTTGTGCAGAATCACCAGAAGAGAGGGTAAGTATGAAAGAAGCTGTAGCCACACTCAACAAAATCAAGACAAAGTTTGTGAAGGACGTTTCTTCAAGAGGTGTGTTGTTAAACCGTCCTCTTGTTCAGCGCTTCAATTAATGGACCTTAATTCAGAAAAATGTAGAGGAAGCCATGCCGTTTTGATTATAGTTGAGCCTGAATAACTGAATATTTTGATTACCAAAAACAAAGAATAACTGAATATTTCTGAAAAATACATGAAGAAATAAAAACTCAAAAGCTGAGAGATAGGGGGATTATTGGTGGCCATGGTTGTGGCGGTGGCCACGATTTTTTCCTTGACTTAAATATGTAATGCTAAAAACTTCATTTGCTAAAGTTCAGTCAGGAACTGTGTTCATGCTTCTTACGGAGCTTCTCCATAATAATTTTGAAGTTAAAGTTTGATTAAGGACTTTCCAGCCTTGTTTACACCTTGCGGCACAAGTTAACATGAAAGCAAGCGTTCCTACTTTTCAAATAATACTTGCTATCATGTACCCACCCCACTCTTCTTTGTTTTGTTATCATATACATAACATTTATGATGCCCAATTCTCCATTCTTCCTTTATTACAAGTCGTTGCATTTCTTCCCCCATGGTGCAATCATGCGCCCCACTCTTTCGCAACTTGTTCTGTCTTTATAGATTGGCACTGCCGTCTGCAACTAATATTATTCAATGATTTCAAGTTTTCAATCGAGAAAAAAAAGAAAAGCAGAAACACTCTGAAGTTCGAACTTCTCTATTTTCGGTGCTCATGGAGAGAAGTCCTTTCCTCTTGTCAATAACGTTGTTGCTGCTGCAGTACAGTTCTATAGGCACAGGTGCAGCACAAACTAACATCACCACCGACCAGTCTGCTCTTCTTGCTCTGAGATCCCATATCACTAGTGACCCTCACAACAACTTGGTCAACTGGTCAACCGCCACCTTCGTCAACTAGGTTGGCATTACTTGCGGTGCTCGCCACCTCAGAGTAGCATCATTGAATCTCTCTTACATGGGTTTCACTGGCACCATTCCACCAGACTTAGGCAACCTCTCATTTCTTATTGGGTGGTGCTTAAGGAACAATAGCTTCCATGGCATCTTGCCCAAGGAAATGTCTTATTTGCGTCGGCTGAAGTTGATTAACTTCGGATACAACAATTTTATGGGATCCAGTCCATTGTGGTTTGGGTTCTTCTCCAAACTTCAAACCTTCAATTCGTATGGCAATTAGTTTTCAGGTTCCATACCAACGACTATCTTCAACGACTATCAGGTACGCATGTATCAATAATCTATATGGGAATCTACCATTGATTGATCATTATGTTTTAACATCTTGTTATTAATCTATAAGCCCGGTGTCTTTTTTCCTCCAGAAAATTAGGGCAATTTTTACTTGCTTGTAGGTCATCCAACACTAAAAAACTCTCACTTGAATAGATGATTTGGTTTTTAATTTTAAGGGTGGTTAAGTCTATTCATGTTGGCTTTTTGCTATACTCGAAAGCTTTTACAAAACTTATATTTATGAAGCTAGGGACTATAAATTGTAAATAATGAATAATATATGAGCAATATTTATGGGCTTTTCACATAGACGCCCATTATAACATGACATTTTATAAATAAATATTCAATTTCAATATTATAGACAAACTCAATATTGTATCTTCACTACTATAAAACCTCATTATAAGCCACAAGTTGTTGTGGCCTATAATCATGTTGACCACAACGTAATTGTTCACATCAGAGGGTGTCGGTGGCCTATGAAGTGCTGGGTCTCACCCTAATTTTTTGGGTAAGTAAATTTAGGTTTTAACCACACAAAAATTTTCACTTTTGAAAAAAGCTAAAACTTTTTCAAAAAATACAGAAAAATCTCTCAACTTTCAAATCAAAGACATGCAAATGTAAAAGATTCCTTAGTAAATCCAAAAATAAATAAGGGCATTTTTGTCCATTTTGACTTCTTTTAAAAATATTTCTCTCTCCTTTGGCATTTTCCAAAATGTCCTCTCTCTTTTTAATATTTAAAAATAACAATACTAGATACCATGAAATAATTAATTTTCTTTGTAATTGTACTTTCTAGATGCACGTGTTTCTTAAATCTCTGACAACTTCATCTAGTAAATACAAATTGCAAAATAAAAAAATATTCACAAGTGGCACGTTGTGCGCGTGATTAATAAAAGGCCTCTCATACACGCTTGTGGATAAGAATATGATGCATGCTTGAAATCCAAAAAATAAAAATAAAAAACTGGAACAGCTGCAAAATTAAGCAAAGAATGTGTGCACTGATTTGAGATAGTAAGAAATTAAAAATGCGGAAATCCCTTGATCACTGATTTCAGACATGTTACATAAAATTAGAATCAAATCTATCTAGAAGAAGAACAGAAAATATAAAAAAAACTAAAGTTAGGGAAAACATATCCTAGTGTATAGGACTCTCTTCCTAAATAAATGGGGGCTAAACAACTGGCATGCTAGTCCAACATTTCTCAAAGTTGGCAACACACTACTTCCCAGCAACTTGGAATTGTATTTGTAGTGCTGGACTTCCTCACTTTCCAAAAGTCTCTCACACCATCAAGGCTTGCATCGCTCTGTAACCATAACACGCATAAGTTCTCTCCTAGTTGAATAAAAACATGAAAAAAATAAAGGCTTATAAATCTTTCTTGAGTGAAGCCAATTAGTCATTTTACAGTAAACACAACAGGCCATTTTCATTGAAATGAATGTTCAATTTACAAACCAAGAAAAGTAAAGAAGAGTGAAAAGGCAAATGAAGTCATGATGTTTCTGCACCTGTGATTGTAAGACGGTAGAGAGCAAAGAGTGAAAAAGCAAATTGAGGAAGAAAAATACGAAATCTATGCATGCACTGTTGGAATTTTAAAAGGTTTTAAAAATTTAACCATTTTATTTATTTAATTATTTTGGTTGTTTTATTTTATTTATTGTGGGGGTTATGAATATTTAATATTCACGCTTTATTTCTGGTTGGTGAATGCCTTAATTTTTTGGTTGGTGAACTTTTATGGTTGGTGAAGGTTACATGTTTTGGATGCCTATAAAAGGCCACTCCTCCTTCACATTTGATACACACACAGGAACACACAATACACTATCAGAATATCACATATACATTCTAATTCTCTCTTTTCCTATTTTTACATATATTCTCTACTTTATATTATTATTATTTTGGGCAATGGTTATGTGACTTGGATACCTATATCTGTTTATGAACGTGCTCATAGCTGATCTTGAGTTTGTGTACAAGGGGTCGTATCTTGGAGTCTTGTAGACCACCAGTACCTGCACGTAGGGAGGCTACAAAGGCTTTAGGACAGCGTCTTTGACGTGCTTCACCGTACCAAACTCACCTTCTTACCTATTATTTATTTTCCTTTTATTTCCCTATTATTTTGTTTTCTTCAATTTCATTATACCTTCAAAGCTTTTCAATTTGTTTATATGTTATTTATAATATAAATATTTTGTATTTGGCTTTACGGAAAGAGGAAAACTATTATTTTTAATAACAATCTAAAGCCTTTGTACGTTACATTTGTTTTCTTCCCGTACTACTATTGCTTTAATATCTTTTAACTCTTTGACTGAAGCTTTTGCATTTGTATTGGATTTGCAAATTGAAAATCACGATTTGTTTTGGTTGGATGCAGTTTAAAGCTTTCATGTTGTCTATTGAATTTCAGTTGCTTTAAATATTGTTGGTACATTTATATTTTATAATTTTTGTTGCTAACGTTTGGGAAAGTACTGCTAGTGTTTGAAAATAAAAAACCTACAAACTAATTTATGTGGCATTATTATTATAGCTTAACGTTTTGGAAGAGATTTAAATCTTTAATTGGTAATATATAATATATATATATATATATATATTGAAGTGACCTACGTTTTTCTAGGTTACTGTTGGTTGATACATCAATGTTGAGAATTAGAATTTTTACATTTATGGAGAAATTAATTTAAACAATTCTATTTTGTGCACATGTCCATATATATAATATCTATTTTATTTTATTTTATGTATTTAGTGGTCTTACTATTATATTTATTATGTTTATTAAGATGACATTGAATTGGCATTAGAGTACCTGCCGTTAGATTAGCTTTATGTGATATCAAACTTGAAATTGTAAGCATGCAGTTATTATTTTGGTTTGATTATTGATTCGTTTTGTTTGTAATGGAAAATATAATTTGAATTTAATGATTTTGGACGTTAACTCCTTTTGGTTACAAAATTAGTTAATTGCTACTAACTTCTTTTGGAAGTTTTTGCATTGCACATTCTTTTTAATATCGTTTTATTGTTCTCAATTGCCAAAAAGGTCTGCTTTACTTTTGATAATATATTCTTCCCCGTAAAGTTTATTGTTTGCAATTATAGTTTTTTAATGTTGGGTTTATTGCATTGCATTGCACATTCAATTACGAGATTTTATTTATTTTTTAATTTATGCAGCTTTAGTTTCAAAACTTTAATGTCAATTTCATGACATTTAGAGCTTTTGATTTTGTTAGGTGATTATTGCCTTTAATGTTCTGAACATTTATGCAATTTAATTACATCTTTGTTTTAATTCCTTGGATTCTTTTTAAAGTTGCCAACGCTTATATATTTTGATTGTGCAATCCTTCGTATTAGTTACTTGAGTTAATCATGATACAAATATATTTAGTGAATTAATGTTCTTTTGATTGTGAAGTGTTGACAGCTGACACTTTGAGTTAATTGCCATGAAGTGTACATTGTGAAATCCTCCTGAGAAAACTGAAATGAAATAATAAATTATATCACTATAAGTGGCATTAATTTTGAGTTTTGGTGTAAGGCTTTCAAACCCTAAATTTTTTGAGGCATTTTTTTCTTTTTGAGGCTTTCGATGGTTTCACTGTTATATTTACAATGACTATCAACATGACTGTGAGTACATATCTTATAAATTTAAAATTAAATAAATTTTGGTACAGTCTTCATATATTTTGAGAATTCCCTAATTTGTGGGGGTTGAGTTTTTCCTTAACTATGTGGGTAATTGTTGGAATTTTTGTGGGT